TTAAATTTACCAAATTTTCTGATTAATAAACTCACCAGCACCAAGTCGTCTAAAATTGTTTCCATCTAATCTCAAAAGTCTGTCTAATATTCTGAATTCCAACAAGATTATTGGATAAATTCAATCCAGATTATTGAATAAATGATTTTAAATTCAGTTTGTTAGAAATTAAACTAATAAACAATGCACTGAGAAAAAATCTGGTTGCATTAATTAGAATTCTGGTAGATTCAACCAATATGTCTGTTGGAAAATGGATGAACCAGAATTCTTGTAGGAATTACCAAATGAATCTGCTTAATTCCTTCCTGTTAAATTTACCCAATTTTCTGGTCAATAATACTAAACTCACCAGCACCAAGTCGTCTAAAATTTTGTCCATCTAATCTCAAAAGTCTGTTTAATATTCTGAATTCCAACACGATTATTCCATAAATTCAATCAAAATTATTGAATAAATTATTTTAAGTTCAGTTTGTTAGAAATTAAACTGATAAACAGTAATGCAAGAAGAGGATGCAGCTCAAACACACACAATCAGAGAGCTAGCGTCCTCTTTCTGGCACTACTGTTCGTAAAAGAAAAAAAATATTCTTTGGATTTATAATGTTTAATTCAATACTAGTTTTTTATATACATTTCATGGTATATTCAAATATTGAATACGAGTTAAGTTAAGAGTGACTCGCCGCCTAGCAGCAAGCAAAGAAATTGATGTAACAAGAAATTTATAGATTTATAGAACCAGAAAATACTAATCAAATCCTTATAGTAAAATCTATTAAACGTTTTAGTTATAAAAAATCAAGTCTTATCATTAACTAAAAATTCGATTCGAATCAAACGATTTTTCTCAGTGTACAATTTAAAAATTTTCCAGTTGCAGAAGGGAAAAGAATTTATATATTTCACGTAAATCATTAATATGATTCGCAGATAATGATCTAAATTTTCAAAAGAAGATTAAAATTCTTTCGTACATTAATAATTACAAAATTAATAATTATATTTCACGTATATTTATAACTTTATAATCAGCGAAAACTCTAATTGTAACAAAAGTGTCAACAAATCACGCGAAATTGCAAATATCGACGCAATCTCGAGAGATATCGCGCAATTTCGATTTTTAATTTACGTAATTATAATTATTTTACGCGACGTTTATCACTTGAGTTTTCCAATTAATATTTTCAAGCAATTTCCAATTAATATTTTCGCGCCTCCTATTGTGCGTCCTGATGTGTCTTCGATAGCAAGTCGAAAGCGTGCGAGAGAAGGTCAAAAAGGAGGAGGAATCGCAGATAGCCGTGTGTCATTAATCAAGGCCCTCGAAGTGCACTAAATCACCCGCGAGATATAAATTACCGCTGGCAATCTGGTATCAATAAGGCGTAATTCGGGATAATAGGGCGTGCGAAGGCGGTTCGGGGTGAGAAGAGAGGGCAGAAGCGCGGGAGGGTATATAACTCCTGATTTCCGAGGGTGCTGTAGATTTCGATTAACCCGAGTCCGTCCGTCTGTCCGAGCCGAGTCGCGACATTTCTCTTCGTTACCCTCTTCTCGTCTCGAACCTTCGATCCTTCGCCTTTCGTATAAATAATTTAACGGACGGATGTGCACAGGGGCCAGCTGGTCGCCGTCGCAAATACAAAAGGAGCCGACGCGAAGGAAAGCGTCGAAATCACGAAAGTCAGAAGTATTCATCAAACAGATTTCAAGACGTAATAATAATTCACTGGCCGACAAAATTTAGACCCAGAAACCAGAATATACTTTTCCGAAGGTTTCCGACGCGCTGAGTTCGAATCCGAGGTCAGAATTTCTCTGGTGGCTCCGGTTTTCGAGATATTCTAACCTAAAAGTCCCCAAATCACGGTTTTTTCGAGATATTAGAGGTTATGTTGACATTTTTGATATTCGGAAATTGAATAGCATCAAATAATATAATGTATGTACACGAAATATACATTTTTAAAGGGTTTTGATGCACGCTGATTCGAAATTTGACATTAGTTTTGCAAATTTAATTTGTCTAAACAATTTGTTTAAACAATTTGTTTAAACAAACTATTGCAAAAATAATGTTTTTTGAGAAGTAAATGATTCAATCGGATTCTACGGGAACAAGCTCATCCGGAATAGTAATTCGGTATATTAAAATAAGTTTTGTTACAAACTAATTGATAAACAATCATTCATTTTCCAAATATCGAGAAATAAGTCAAACTACTTAATTTGAACATTCAATTTCTCAAAGATAAAAAAAGATATCCGGACAATCAAAATGTTTTTTAAAGAGGAAGAGTAGTACTTTCGGACCCCATTAATGGTTTTATGAAAAAAAAATTACCTTGTGATGTAACATAACCTCTAATATCTCGAAAAACCGTGATTTTGACACTTTTAGGTTAGAATATCTCGAAAACCGGAGCCACCAGAGAAATTCTGATTCCTCGGATTCGAGCGCGTCGGAAACCTTCGGAAAAGTATAATGAAAAGCATCTCTCAGACATATCAAAAAGGATCTTATATGACAATCTCAATAAAAATCGATCTATCTATTAGCGATTATTTTTTTTTCTTTAGCTCCTGTTCTTAAAGCTATTAAGTTTCTTGGCAGAAAGAGAGAGTTTTTATATTCATAAAATATTAATTCCAATTTTAACTTGCGAGAGGAAAAAAACTGTCGCTGTTAAAGAGAAAACAAATATTTTCAACGAGAGATGCAGAATATATTTTCGTCGAAATATGCACAAATAGTATCAGCTCAACTTAATATTCACTTCCTTCGTCGGGAAGTCGAAGAAAAACTTATACGCTCGGCCGTGTAAAAAAGTAAAATGGCGAGTTGTGCAATACTGAAAATCGACGTTGAGATCGTCCGAGTCGTTTCCCGTGTATCGACAGATCGCGAGATTCGTCGGCGCGATACAACACGCGGCGCGGCCGGCTAATTAGTTATCCTCGATACATCTGGCTGATGGATAATTAGCCGCTACGCTTTATACGCGCGATAACTCGCCGCTCGCTCGCGCGCACGTTCCCGACGACCCGCTGGGATTTGTTTCCGCCCGTGAAAACAATTTGTTTCTCATTCCATCGGAACCGAACCCCGTCATCATCGGCGCCAGAATGGGATAAACCCTTCCCTCTCGCGTCCGCATCTCCCTTTCGGCGTCCGTCCTCGTTCATCCCGCTTCATTTCCTCGGCCCTATTACATCGTTATTAGGCTCGTAACAGACGTGTAAGCGTTCCGGGGAACACCCCACTGGGTTATTAATGGTGACTCTTTGTTTTTTCGTACTCTCCACGCCCGATGGCCACGATGTACTCCTCTTCTCCTTTTTCTCTCTCCTTCTTTGTTCCTACCTTCCTCTATCACGACGTATGTCTCTCTCTTTCTCTCGTTAACTCGAGGTTTTGCCGTTTTCCCTCTCTCCTTCTCTCTCTACTTCCGTCCCTCCTCTCACGCATGTCTTGAATAAATTAATGTAAACGGGCATTAAGATAGGTGTCGGGCTTTCTGATGCGAATGAGATCTGCCTCGCGCGGTGACAAATTGATGGCACAGGTAAAGGGATATTCTTCGCGCGCCCTATAATATCCACGGTAAGGGGAACAGTCGCCGAAAGGGCGTGCACGCGCTCTTCCACGTGGAAGAAAGAAAAAAACGTCGCGAGTATCTCGGCGGTGGAGATTTCGACGGTTGTCCTGTTCTCGTCCGGTTGTTTCAACGCGCGTGCCACCGTTCGTGTCGCTCATCTTGGAATCTCTATCATGGAATCTCTTCGACGAGATGTCTAATTTCCGCTCTCAATCACGGATAAAACGTCAATTTATTCGCTTTTATAATTATCGTCTGTACCTTATCTTTTTGCTCGATATTTTAGATTCTACTTTTTGCGCATATTTAAAATAAAAATATCATTTAATTTCAAAAAAGGATCATTGGAAATAATGTAATCGACCAAAACTAGCCAAATGATAGATATAAATCATGGTATTATAAACACAAGTCACATTTGCAAGATCATCAGATCTTACTAAATTTGAAATCGAGAGATAAAACTATGATTTATATCTATCATTTGATTTTATATACTTAAAAAGGATCATAACCGTATGGTCGAAACGTCGTAATTAATAAACAAAAATTCTGGCTAGTTTTGGTCGATTACATTATTCCCAATGATCCTTTGATTAATTGACTAGCGATATTAAGATAATTTATGAAAAATTTAAAAATTTAAAAATTATATTTTTATTTTCAATAAAAAAAGTATAATAAATATAAAATAGACAATAAACATAAAATTATGCTCTTTAAATTAGAGTTAATTTGAATTATCGACGAAAGTCAATCAAGATTTCTTAAATCAGAGAATGTGCAATCGATAAATAGGAGGAGATTATAAGCGAATGGAATCAATTATATGAAATTATATGAAAGGTCACTGTCATAGTTTCAGATTCAGAATATTTTACATATATTATCGTGATCAAGTGATGACAGACTTTCATCCTCCGACATTATACATCTTTCTTAACACATACGAGTGTATGAAACAAAATTCATTCGCTTATTGTCCCGCGTCACGAAGCGTGAAATGTCACCGCAATTCGCTCAATTTTATACTCATTGACTACAAGAATCCACTTATTATCACACGAATGATCGATATAAACCGCTGATCAAAATTATGTACACTAATGCCTACTAATGCCCAATTCCTGCAAAATTTTTATTAATGTCTAATTACATTATTGCTAAATTTTTTATTAATATCTAGCAATGCTCAAGTAATGTCCACTAATGTCGAAGAAACGCCAGTAATTCCCAAACAATGCCCAATAAGTCTAGCAACGCCCCAAATCTGTACGCCGCAATGCCCTCAGCGGTTTACCCCTCGATTAAATTAAGAACGTGCTCGACAATTCCCGCGACAACTTTACGCACTTTCTCAAACCTGGACCACCATACGTAAGCGACACTCACCTTCGCAGGTAAACTGTCCGTAATGTTTGCCGCTACTCTTGTCCCCGCAGACCACGCACTCGATGTTCGGCGATTTGTCCGTTTGCGAGCTGCCGGACTGCGAGCTGTTCGCCTGGCTACCGGGGGTGGTGCTGGGTGGCAGGGGGTCCCTCGAGGTCAGAACCGAACCGGCGGGCACTAAGCAGGTGATGTCTTCCGGTGTGGCCGAAGGCGTAAGATGCGCGGGCGGCATCGGCGGCGGCGGGCCCACCTGGAGGGGCCCGCCGCCGCCGCCGCCGCCGGCTGCACCCAGGGCGGCCCCCGGGTCCCGCGAGGCCCAGGAGGGCGGCGGCGCGACCAACGCCATCGAGGCGGTGGTGCCGCGCGCCGGGAACCCCAGCTCCAACGTGGTGGTGAACTCGGGGTGGTGGTGTCCGGCTGGCACCCGGCCAGGGAACAACGTCGCCGTCGCGGCCGGGTAAACCACCCCGGCAGTCGCCAGGGCGTCCGCGCCTACCGTCCCGCCTCGAACCACCCTGCCGGTTTCCTGCCCGTGACCCGCGACCGACGACGACGGGGCCAGCTGTTTCCGGGTCGGCTCGACACTTCCGACCAGAATCGTCCGGTTGGATTCCTCGAGTTGGTTTTAGCTCGATCCGACGAGATGCGAAATCCTGGTACAGTCAATGTCCTCGATAATTTATTCGTTGATTGTCCTGTACCGACGTTTATAAGTTACGTCTCTTTATTCACTTCTTCCTGTCCTGAATATATCTACGGATAGGCACGCATAATCGTACGAGAGATGTCCGACAGCTATCATACTTTCAGGGAAGCATGACTAGATCGACGTAACATTCTTCAGTTATTGGTATCGGATGCAATTGTACGTAGTAGATGGTTGAAGATGTCAAAGTTACTCCACTTCAATGCGCTACTTCTTCCAAGTAGTATTCTCGATCGCTACCTATTCTTGATTGTTTAAATCTCCAATTAGATGGTTTCCTAAAATTTACAGAGATCGAAGATGCGTCCGATCGTTCGAATTCTTCAAAGATATTCGAAGTGAAGATTTCGCAGCTCCAATCAATCCCGTTATCGGTCACAAATTGTTGGCGCGGCAACAACCATACATCAAATCGGGGAAACTAAATGCGCGTAAAACGGCGATCGCGAACGATCCAACAACATCAAACAGTAACAATTTCGGTTACACTCGGCCATGCACTCGGAGGCACTTCACTTTTCCACGTGCACGTCGCGATTTCCCGAGGCGAAAGGTCTCGCGTTAAAGACACCGACATCCACATCGACACTGATCGGTCTATCCCAGCATCAATTCCTCGGGCACCAAGGCGACGACACACGATTCATTCGAGAAGGCGAAAGACGGAGGCAGATGGGTCCGGACGATCCACAACAATTCGAAGCAGCCGCGTCCTTTGGAGCACCGCTTGATGTTTCGCACTCTGACGCGTATCAGAGTATACCCCAAAGATCACTCTTGTTCACGTGCATGCGTGCATGCGTGCGTGCGTACGTACGTGCGCGTATGTAATCGATATAACGTGTATGTCCTTTCACGACACTTGCGTTTGCGCGCGAATCTCGTGTGTACGTCCGCTCGCTCGCGTGCGCGTGTACTTCTCGCGGATGCGTGTTGCGCGATGGTGTGCGTGATGATGTCGTCCCTCTGTCGCGCGCTCGCAGCGCCGGGGCAGCAGCAGCAACAGCAGCAGCGGCGGCGGCGGCGGCGACAGCGGCGGCGGCGGCAGCAGCAACGGCAGCAGCAACGGCAGCAGGAGCAGCAGAGCGGCGGCCCGTGCTGTAGTAGTAGGAGGAGAAGGAGAAGAAGAAGAAGAAGAGAGGTGATACTCGACTACCGCCTCGATACGACTATTCTTGGGGCCGACCAGAGACCGACTGCCGACTAAGGCGACCCCTGACACCGACCTGGCTCTCCCACCATCGCAAACCCGCGAGGGTTTCTCGCGGGTTCCGCCAGTTTCCATGACTACCGAAGGTGGGATCGAGTCCCGGGCTCGCCCCGGTCGGCCTCTCATTGGCTACGGGTCTACCCTACCTTGGTTGATCAGCACGCGTTGCCCGACCGAGTAGTTCCATACCCACTTTGACTCCTCGATCTAGTCGCAGTTTCTCCCTTCTTCTCTCAGTCCCGCGCTCGCGACGAGCCAGTCTCCCTCCTTCGTTTGAGGTCGTCTCGCTCGCCGCATCGACGCCTCGCATCGCTCTCCATCTATCTATCCGTCTACGGTCGGTCTATTCGTCTCCTCTACTCTCCTTCTCTTCCACCCTTCCTTCCTCACCCCCTCAAGTTTCTCTTTTTCTTCCTGTACGCGAACTCGACGAACAAGCGATCCGCAGTTCTCCTTATCGCGTTTCTCTCCTTTACCCTCTATCTCACCACTCCCCTCGTGATCTCCTCTCTCGTGGACCGAGCTCTCCAGATTCTTCAACCTGCTGATCATATTACTACGCTTTTTATCAAACCGACCGCTACCACGAATCATCATCACCGTCTTTAAGCGTCTGTCGAACAACTTTGTTATCGGGAAGGGGCATTTCGATTCATTAGATTCAACCTTGGACTCATTTTAGCCATACATATTTACACTTCTTGAGATTTTTATCTTGTCGTTTCAACTCAATTTTTTTCTGTATCTTGTTTCCGTTGATTATTGCTTCGATCGTTTTGATGAATGTCGCAATATGTGAATAATAATTTTAATATAATTCTCTTGGCAGCTTTTCCGTTCTTTAATACTCATGTTTCTTCATTTCGATAAAAATCTATTTTTATTTCCTCCACACGTAATATAAAACTGCTTTTGTGGAAATCCGTTAAATTTAGCCGGTTGGTAGACGACGAACGACGATCTATAGACGAGCGATTAACATTTCATCCGGATCTTCGCGGCCGTCTCCTCTGCTTTTCTTCTCTGGAAAAAGGAGCCAGGTGGAAGGAACGCGGCCGTCCACCCCGCCGGTGTTAGAAGCAGCCAAGGGAAGAGAGGTCAGAGCGAGAGGGCGGCAGCCAATGAGGACGTGGAGTCAAGTGGGGCGCGAAAAATGGGCCGGCCCGCCTTCCATCCACCCCCGGAGGCTAAGGGTGAGGGTAAGGGTGCACGGAGTAGGGCTAGAGAGGGCTCCGAAGGCGGCCGGGGCATCGAGGTAGGGTCAGTCGGGTCGCAGCCCTGCGCCCCTACAGCCTCGCTCTTGTCATGCTCTTTGCTCTCTTTTCGGATCTCGCTCGCACTTCCACGCTCCATCTCTCTTCCTCTCGTTCCATCGTTTTCCTCCTGCAATGCGTCGTCCGTACATAGTTTCTCGAGCTGCCCGGACCCGATATTCTCCACGTTCAATCCTTCTTTTCAACTTTCTCGTTCCATATGAAGAGAACATTGATTTGACATGTTGGTGATACGCATGATTTGGTGATCGTTAAGGACGTTCGGGCGTTAAGCTCATTATTAGATAAAAATTCAAATCTTTGATATTTAGCAAGAATAATAACATTGTGATCGCTCTTACAAAATTTGTGGTATGTTATCGGTCATTAAAAAAAAGTTATTGACGATGAAAAATCTTTTTTTTAACATAGGCGGTTATGAAAAACCATAACTTTTTATGTTTCAAATTTATGAAAAACATATTATTAGAATAGATACGATGACAAATAATGTTTATCCTTTGAATCATATACATAATATTATTATCATAAAAAAGGTGTTATCGTACATTTGAATTATTTATTAACAATTATAATTAGTACTATTACTGTACTACTTGTCTACCTGACAGGTTAGAGAGGTTAAGTGCCGGTGATGAAACTGATAAATCACAAGTTTTTATTTTTTTAACACTTTGTAACTGATTATCTCGCCACAATTTTCGTTTTTGAGAAACAAATTTTCCCTTTAAAATTCCATGATTATTTCTAACGTTGTAATAATTATTTTTATTATTATTCATGTCATTTTTATGTCAAATTAATTATTTTAGTTTTTTGCGATAATTAATCAACAAATAATTTTAATAAGTCAAAAAAATTTAATAAATTATTTTAGAATTATTGAAATATTTTTAAACAATTAACAAACTGTAAATAAAATTTGTAAATGATAGTCCTCATTTGACTCACGATTACCGCATGAACGTTCTTAAATTCGCGATTATTCCTCTTTTTCTTCCTCTCATGTTTCGAATCTACTTTTTCGTGATTCGCATAATTTCTGTTACTGAATCTTCATCTCTCCAAGAAGAATAAAAAAATGCCTAATAAACTGGCAATCAACTATATTTCTTTCTTCCGTTTCTCAAATCAGCATAATTTATTTCATCTCAAACGCGTGTGAAAATAAAACGATGCTGCAGCTAAGAAACAACAAATTTCACATTACGTCATCAATCATCTTATCCCGTTGCCAATAAACTCCGTCGTCAACATTCTTATCGCGCAGTCGTTCTCCGTTTTCTACGCCGTAATCGAACCAAAGCGGACGCGTAAGACGATCTTCTCGCCAAGAAACGAAATCGAAAGGAGACATCTTCGACGTGTGATTCGAGCGCGAAGAATTTGCCCTTTCAATCCACCGCCAGAAAGTACAATTCTTTTCTCTGCGTGTTGCGTGCACGCAAATAGCGAACGATGAATAGCCGATTGGGCAGACGAGCGAAAAACGAGAGATGAGAGCACGAGAAATTCGAAGATCGCGAGTCGTTGGCACTTGCGCGCTCTTGAATCGAACTCAATAAATGCGACCTTTGACTGTCATAGACGTTGTCGAGGGTCAAATTTAGGCTGCGACCGCATCGAATTTCGTGCACCGACGTTCCACCTGACGACGTCATCGCCTCAATCATTTCTTTCGGCATTTCGGGATTTTGTTTCATCGACGGAAAAAAAACAATATCGTTTTGTATATTTGTGCTACTAGAAAAGAATGCAAAAATCTTGTCCTCTTTTTTCATAATCTTATTGTTATTATATTTTTCATATTTTTTCAATATATATTTGCGAGCAGTAATATATATATATATTAAAAGAGAAATTTAATTCTGTTATTTAGTTCTGTTAGCTTGTCAAAAAATTTATGATAAACTGAATTCTGCATGTTATCTTATCATTCATAGAATTATTTCAAAATCATTATACATAGAGGTAATTATCTACAAGAATGGCAATCTCACCGATAACTTTGACCTTGACATATGTGGTCAAGATCATGATCCTAAGTCCTCCAAAAAGTTTTAATTCATTGTTTATTAAGAAGTTATTAATAATTTAATTCTGTAGTAAAAACATAGTAAAAACATGTATTAAATGCGCAATGTATTCAGTACATACTTACGAATTAGATAACATTTGATGTCGAAGATATAATGTACACCGTTTTGTATGGTTCTACATAACTTTGTAACGTGTGTCATCGACTTTCGTAAATTTAGAAAAAAAAAAGAACTAGAAGCTACAATTGTACTGATTTATTGTAAGTTTAAATAATCTGTTATAGGATACATTGCTATTATTTGAAAAAAATGATTCGATTCTATTCATGTTCTCGTTTAAATAAAAACTCAGTGATGTAAGCACTGTAATGTTTTTGTCTAATTCCATATTGCGGAATTGCAGCACGTAAATCTCGCCATACGCATTCAATATTTTGCGTACGAGCACCTGATTCAGATCTACAAAATTCATGTTTACAGTGCAATGAACAAATCCTGCTTCTCTTAAACAATTGTAAGATTTCCGACAATCAGAATAAATGATGAATCGATTTGTCGGCGAATCGTGGCGCGATACGTCGTTTTATGACTGCCAATAAAATTTTCGAATTTCTTGCTGCAATCGGTTCGATGAATATTTTTTTTGTTTGTCTATCGATGCCGAACACCCATTGACCCGTAACTGCTCAATCTTTCTGATATTTTCTTTTTTCTATTTTTGCTTAGTTAATTTCAACTAATCTGAATCACTAATTTGCAAATTTTGTCGCGATACCCAAAACTCAAAAATTTATTAAAAAATAATTAAAAACTAAAAAATTGAACAATAATAACGTAGATAATTTACCTCTCGACAAAAGGAAGACCAATCAATCGCTGTTTGCATGCTGATCGAAAGTTCACTCATTAAACGTTCTATATGTGCTGGCGGATGATAAACAAAATAATCGATAAAACGACAAATTTTTTTCAAGTCCTCTCGTCGTATATGCTCAAACCACGTTCCATTAAATGCACTAATTTTATAGCCACAATAAACTTTTTGTCTTTTCTTTTTATTTATAATCTTACAAGATACACTGGAACATCGAAAAAATAATGTTTCGCGATTTAACTTTAATTCTGATCCACATTTTGAACAAATAATTGTATCACGTATAACACGATGGAAAATTAAAAAATGCAATAGAGCATAATTATCGATGACTTAAAGAAATTGATATTATTTCATGTTGAAGACTATTTTCTTCAATGGTCGAAATCACACTAAGTATCTTCATCCTTCTTCTTATAAATTCCGGAACACTACAATCAAAACAATTACACAGCAGAAGTCTTACTTACATTGTTACAATAGCAATTCAAATATTTTCGGAATCGAAATACATACAATAGCACATTTGCCTTAACCTATTCCAAAGCTATTTCTAATTTAAAATTAACTATTTCTAAATTAAAAATAAACTAAATTTTGCTTGGAAATGGACCTTGCTTTGCGTGAACTTCAATTGCTCACAATTTTTTACCAAACAAAGATAAAACTTTTTGGAGGTTACTTAGAATCATGATCACATTAGTCAAGGTCAAAGTCGATGAAGTTGCCGTCCTTCTAGATAATTACCTATTCGTGATCGCGTACGAGACACGTCCGTGTCATATGTATCCGTTTTTAAAAAACCTCGG